TAAAGCTGGTGATGACAACTATTCTGTTATGAGACAGAGAACAAACATTAGGTCACACATAGTCTCTATAGCATATTCTTCTCCTCCTTCTTTATTCTTTAAAAATGTAAAAGCCATTTTTATTTCATGATCCGTACAAAAACAGATTGTGAGCTGGATTTGGACTGTGAGCTATAGTCGGCCAATCCCTGCTTTAAAGTCATTAAAGAGCTGTTGACACAGAAATATAAAATAACTAACTCCATAGAAATAAGTCTTTCCTAGATACAGTGTCCAGGATCAAAAAAAATACATATATATATAAGATATACAAAGAAGCAGGAGAGGGTAACCTGTAATCAAGAAGGAAAATCTGTTAATAGACAGTCCCACAGATGACCCATATGTTGGAATTATCAGAAATATACTTTAAAATAATTTTGATAAATATATGAAAGAATCTAGAAGAAAGCATAAATATAATGATTGAATGATTGGAAATTTCAAGAGAAAGTCGGATGCTCTAAAAGAGAACTAAATGGAAATCATGGACCTAAAAAATACAATAAATGAAATTATAAATTCACAGTGTGGGATTAATAGCATACCAGACACAACAAGAGAACTAAAGTTGAAGTAAAGTAAATAAAGATGATCCAACTGAAGCATAGAAAGGGAAAAAAATGGAAAAATAAACAGAACTTCAAAAACTTGTGAAATAGTATCTAGTGACAAGAAAAATGGTAGATTAAAAATGATATTTGAAAGAATATCGGTTAAAAATTTTATAAATTTAATAAAGATAAAAACAATAGCTCATCGATCCAGAAAGCTCAGTAAACCCCAAAGAGGATAAATCACCAAGGGACATTATAGTCAAACTTCTGACAACCACAAATTGAAATTTAAAAATTATAATCAGCCAGAGGAAAAAAGGAACATTTATATGGAAACAAAATTAATCGCAATCTTTTAAAATAAAAAATAATGGTGACCAGGAGACAGCAGAATGATGACTTTAAAAAGAATTGAAAGAAAAAACTTTATCAATCTGGAATTCTATATCTAGT